TTGACGATGTATCAATATGTAATTTTAAAATAGTTTAAAATACATATAAAGTAAATAAATTTATGAGTTTAAAAATAACATAATTAAAAATAGTTTAATGTTCATATGAGTGAGGGATCCACTGGTCACCCAAATGAGGTTTCAAGATATTTTTTTAATTTGAAAATAATTAACATATTAATATTTAAATAGTTTTTAAATAGTTAAAATAATCAAACAATAGATAAATAATTTATAAAAATATTATTTTGATTAAAGAAAATAATTTTAAAATAAAATACATAATTTTCTCAGAAATTTAAGGTATTATATGCTAAAATCTGATTTGAAATGAATTAAATATAAGTTATCAATGTTTAAAGTACTTAAAGATAATTTTAAAATAATTTGAAATAATTACCATTTAAGAAAATAAAAAATTAGGTTAAAATAAATATAAAATATTTTGAAATCAAAATAAGTTAATAGGTAAATAATCTTTTTTATAGATTTGGAAAGTAATTATGTTTTAAATGTAATTAATTATTAATTAAATAGTTTAGAAAATAAACTATTTAACTAATTAAAAATTACTTAAAATAATAAATATGAACATAATTTTTAAATTAAAAATTTGAAAGTAATAATTTTTTTTTATTTTTGAAAATAAAATATATAAAGAAATATTTATTATTTTTATTTTAAAAGTAATTAATAACTATTAGTATTAACTAAGTATTTAAATATTAAGTAATTAAAACTATTTTAAATAATAATAAATATGACATAAAATAGATTTAATTTTTAAATTAATTTATTTTAAAATAATTATTAAAATATATAATCAGATTTTAAGAAAATGAATTTAATTTTAATAAAAATATATATTTTTAAAGATCAACTGCTCAAAATTAGTGCAATTCATACACGACGGATTATGTAACCCTAAAACGAAAAAGGGTTTGTTTTCGAGGATGGCTTAACTAATTTTGATGAAATTTTAAATGTAGATTAAGGACATGAATAGAAGTCATGGGGAGGTGTTTGGAAGCTTTGAAAAGTGCTTATTAGAAAGCTATATAGGTCTAAGTGTAGTTACCTAGATCTAAGATTTTGAGGAATTCTCACCATTATATCTTCTGGATTTTGAAATATAGACTGTCCACGATGGATCTTCCTCTTGATTTCTAGGTCTAATGATCCACGGATCGCCCGTAACAAGCCTTGGACGGATCTAGGCTTGTTCTCGCCCAAAGATCATCGCCGGTGAGGTCTCAAGGGTAGCTTTAGCTCGGGAAAGATGGAAAGAGATGGGGAGAACTCTCACACCAAAGGATTTCGGCTTAGAGAATTCTAGGGAGATAATCACTTTCAAGAGAGGCTCCAATTAACCCTAAAACATCTATTTAAAGGCTTAGAGTCATGATCAAGGGTGGGGATTAAATCTAAAGTCAATTAGGAGGGAAATATATGAGTTTAATCGTGGTTTTGAGTCAAAGGAACCTCATGAATGGTTTTGATGGATTAAAAGGGGTTTAAATTGACATAAATAGGTCAAATTGACCCAATAGGACTTGGGTAAACCTAGTCAATTGAGTCTAAGGTAGTAGGGGTTTGAGCAAGAGATAGGGTTTAGATTTAAATAAAGCTTGAATTGACCCACTGAACTCAGGGGAGGTGGTCTGGGGGCCTGGCTTGGTCAATTTGACCAGGTCAACCCTTTGACCCAAGCTACAGGGCAAAAGGAAGGTCAACATGGGTGAGAGACATCTAATTGAGTTAGCCTTAGTTGATGATGCTATTAAAATGATTCATTTGATCGGAGACATATTGAAGGTTGTATATGACAGGCAATGACAGTATTTTGATGTTAAGCATATGGCTGTGAAATTTTAGGTAGTAGATTATTTATATGTGAAGATCAAGCTCATAAAAGCCATTAACAGATTTGGCAAGGAAGGAAAATTGAGTCCAAGGTATGCTGAACCATTTGAAGTTGTTGAAAGGATTGAGAAAGATGCCTAAATGTTACAGTTGTCAGATCATATGTCAGAAATTTATAATGAATTCCATGTGTCACTTATAAGAAAATTGATATATAATTCTAGAAATAAGATATCAGCCAAAGACATCAAGGTATGTCAGAATCTGAGCTATAGGGAAGAAAATGATTCAAGCCTATGATGTTAAAAAGCTAAGGAGTAAATAGATTTCTATGCTTAAAGCTAAATAGAAGAATATGACTGAAAGAGAAGCTATTTGGAAAAAAAAAAGTCTAAGATGTGCTAATTGTATTCTAATTTGTTTTTGTGATCTAAGATCTAAGTTTTAAAATTATTAAACTATATAGGTTACATCCATAATTATTTCAAATAGGGATATAATATTTATTTTCTACTCTTAGCAAATATTATGAAAACTAATTTTGTGACAATTAAAATTTTCATCTTTGTTCCACCTCAAAAAAAAAGAGTAGATGAGAGATGTTTAGATGAAAGTTGTGAATAAATTTTTAGGCAACTTACTAAGATTTTAAGTAAGTAAGAATATTGACTTGGAACTTGCATCTACCAACTTCTAAGTTTACATATAACATCAGTACTTGTAAAATAACTCAAAATATATTTTTCATCATTTATTTTTAGATGCAGCTTCGCCATTGCATAAAATTTTCATTATATGCATGAATAAATAAAACAAAAAATCTAATTAAATAATAATAAATATTCAAGTACTATGTAGTCTATATGAATGGTTATTTAAACCCATTGTGTTATCAAATGTTCTTAGCACTTTCATGAGATTGATAACTAACATACTTAAGCCATTCATAAGAAATTTTTTGATAATTTACCTTACCGATATTTTGATTTATAATATGAATGAAAAATCATATTAATGATATCTTAGACTTGTGTTTGAAATTTTAAAGTTTGAAAACTTTTACATTAATATGAAAAAATATTTCTTCATTCATAGAGAAGTCATAATCCTAAGTATGATCGCTTCTACTAATTGACTCCAGCATAACCCTTTTAAAGTTAAGTCAATCATAATGTGACAAACACAAAAAACTTTTGCTAGTTTTCATGATCTAGCCAACTTTATAGGAAATTTATCAAGGATTTTGTCACCATCATGATCCTAATTATAAACATCCTTATAAAGAATAAGTTTATCCAAATAATCAATACATCTAAAATTTTTAATCAAATTAAAATCCTATTGACCTATTCACCTATCCTTAGGTTGTTGACTTTGCCAAGCCTTATAAAATTTCTTGTGATACCATTGGGATAGGCAATAGTGGAGTACTCAATACATATAATCATTCAATTACTTGATTTTAACAATAATCAAATGATATCAAGCAATGTTATTCCATTTATGATAAGGAATTTCATGTCATCATCCAATCTCTTAAACACTAGAGACACTACATATTACATAATTAATTTGTTTAATATATTAACCATCATGCCCTTAATTTTATCAACACCTAAAAAAGCTTTAATCGAAGGCATGCAAAATGGGTATAATTTTGCCAAGAATATTTTTCATTTGGCAACACAAAGCAAACACTAAGAACAAAGGTACAAATGCCCTTTCATGAATCACCTTACTCATCTTGTCTTTAGAGTTCAATACTCCAATTTTCATACCCCAATTTTCACCTTCTTTATCATTTTTACTCTTCATGGCAATCTTTATTTAAAAAAAAAAATTATATCTCTCACTCATCTCTTTAAGCTTTCCTTATAATTAAGCTTTATTTTAAGGGTATTACAGGATACTTCAAAAATAATTAAACAATTAAATTAGTAGAATAAATATTTTTTTGGCCCTCCCTAGAAATAGATTTGAATCCTTCATTGATCATTATCTTATTTACAAACTTGCCAAAAATAATTAAGCAAAAGGCTAGTAAGTATGCTACTCTCTCAACCCCCCTATTAATTATGGGAGGATCTATCTATAAATTTCATTTTAAAATTTGTCAAAATCCTCTCAAAAACATGATAGTATTTTTGTGATTGTTGATAGTTTCTTAAAACTAGTGCACTTCTTATCATGTTGAAAAACTAATAATACCTCCCACATAATCAAAAATTTCCTTAAAGAAATTATTAAACTATATAAGCTATCATCCATAATAGCTTCAAATAGGAATATAAGATTTATTTTATGCTCTTGAAAAATATTATGAAAACTATTTTTGACACAATTAAAATTTTCATCTTTGTTCCACCTACAAATAGATAAAATAGATGTTTAGAAACGAAACTTGCATCTACTAACTTGTAAGTTTACATTTAACATCAATATTTTTGAAATAACTCAAAATATATTTTCCATCCCACATTTTTATATATATAAATGAAACAAAAAATCTAAATAAAAAGAAATATTCAAGAACTATAAATAATAAATACTCTTCTAAAAAATATAATGAAAATGATCATATCTTAATTCAAATTTATTTTGAGTGTCATCTCACCAAAGATATTATAATCCATTCAAATTTTCTTAATAAACTTAGATCAAATACTTATCCCCTAGATTTTCATTTTAACATGTATATATATCATATTTTTAATATCAAGAATATACTACCTTATCAAATAAATATTAAACCTCAAAATTTCCAAGATAATCCATTGAAATTGATACAACACTAACACAAAAGCCAATGATAAGGGCACAAACTAAGTCTTTGTTTGGGACGAGTTTCTTATTACTTCTTAAAATAGTTTTTTAGTACAAAAATTAAAATTTTATACTATAAAGCTGCTTTAAGAAGCAGTAAGAAAACCGTCCCAAACGAAACCTAAGATATTGTATCAAGATTTGAGTTTTCATCATGTACAACTCTCTTAACAAGCCCATGGGCATATTAAAAGCTAAACCCCTTGTTGTCATTCTTCACTTTTCCCCCTTATTATCCCCCATTTTTTGGAGTTGCCACTAAATTCAGAATAACCATTTATTGTTATGAACATGAAGGGTCGCAACACAATATCTACATCAATATTCTAAGGGAATATTACATAATAATCATCACGAAAATAAGAAACTACAGAAAATATTTACAAAAAAAAGTCCAAAACTTAAAATAGGAATCTCATATTAATCTCATATTTTCCAGTAACAGACAACAGCTCCTTTGTTACTTCTGAGCAAAGAGAGATTTGCCTTCTGACAACTAAAAAGAGAGTAAGCAATATCATCAATCCCCTTCACTGTTGTCTATTTACATGAATATTTCATTGGACCTTGAAATGTACCATTTTTATGAGATTGAAAAGCCATACTTGTCAGGCTTCTGCTGCTGAAGCATCACTTGAATTGGGATTTTCATGGCTCCACAGAAGCCTTAGTTCTCCCCTTATCCAGCCAAGGATGATTATCAGGCCTGATTTAAAGCATTAAATAGAGGACAAGTTTGATTAAAAACAACATAAATACCGATAAACATTCAGGGGCTGTTTGATAGCATCATAGATTTGATTTAGGTAGGATTTCATAAATCCTCTAAATCCGGATTTCGGATATCCTGAGGGGCTTAAATCCTGAAAATTGTTTGATAACATTCATGATACATCCTCTTAAATCTCATGTGATTGTTTGACTATAGAGCAGGATTTACCGAGCGGATTCTTCCTCTAGCGTCATAGATTTCGTAAATCCGGCAAAATACAGGATTTCGAAAATCTGGGATTTAGAGCGAATTGGCGGAATTTTCCGTCTACAACGGATTTCGTTTTCCGTGAGATTTGGTTTTGCATTTTAGGCTGTTTGGCTGGATTTAGCTCAAATCAGCCTCAAATCCAGCCTAAACCCTGCTACCAAACAGCCCCTCAGCTAGAGAAATAGAGGGAGTAATTCAGTACCTAGGGTGCAAGGAACCAGGTAGAGTAGTGCAGGTTGGCCATGTCCATTCATAAAGTATAGTACAAGATATGTGAGAAACAAACCTGAAACAAGAAAAGCGTTCTCTAGTAAACAAGAACCGCTGAAAACCATACAGATAGCGGTGCAGTGGTGATGAGTGTGGCTAGTGATTAGCAATGAATAAATCTAAAAAATAGTGAATCTTTAGTCTGATACAAGTTGATAAGTGTGCTACAGGTGTTTAAAGTAAAATGGCTGATAACCTAAGCAGGAACTGTGGAGGATTGTTTTTTAATAGTTTGATTCTTGAGAAGACAAGAAATTGGTATGTTAAAAAAAACATGCGGAGTAAATAGAAGAGATCAAGAAGATAAGACAAATAAACACCTTGAAGGAAGGATAACTTATTCTGTGCCGACACCAGACGGTCCGGAGACCAACCAGAACGTGCCACATCACTCAGTACACAATGATATCGATCACCGGTGGCAAGCAAAAAAGTGATGTGGCGTGTTCTGATTGGTCTGCAAGCGCCGTCCGGTGTCCATACAAAATAAATTTTCCAAAGAAAGAGAGGCATAAGACAGAAAAAAAAAAAGCATGATAGAACATTTGAATAGACAATCAATCTCCACAGTAGATGCCAAGAAAAAAAAACAATCCCTTTCTTTATTCCGTCTTCAACAAATTGAATTATAAAGTTTGAGGCACTATTTATAGAAATCAAGTCTTATTGATAATAATAAATCTACTGCTAAACAAATGGCATTTGCAATGAAAATAATTAACTCAAAATAATAGAGACTATCAAATGGTACATTAAATAATACTAGAAATATGGAGACATGAATAAAGGAGGTAGGCTTACGTCGCATCAAAGTGTAAAAGAAATTAGTGGTGCGCAAGAAACATTCTGCCCGAAAGTAAAATTCTAACGAACCTCTCAATGCAAACTTACAAAAAAGCAAGATTTTCTTTAAAAGAAAATACTAAAGGGGTAGTAGGGTCAAAGGGATATGCAATAGGTATTGCCATATAACTTATCAGTGATTTCTTCATCCAAAGATATTTTAAAGGAAAAATGATAATGCATGGAGCTCCAAATATAAGTATGCAGTGTATATCAATTTTTTGTACGCAAAACAAAGTCCGATGTAGCACTAAAATATGTCAAACATAAGAAAATCATTCACGAAAAAAAAAATCTACATGTATAACACTTTGTCAAAAACTGTCTAACACTAACTCAATAGTTCCCCACTTCACCATTTTTTATTTTTTCACCTAAGCTAAAGACTTGAACAAAATCTTTGTTCTGTAATTAAGACATGGAAAAGAGTAATGATTTACTCCAATTATTTGATTTAGAAGGTTGGTAGAATTGCAAAAGAAAAGCTTTTCTTTAGTGAAAACAAAGAGTTATTTTTTAATATTGTGTCTAAATCATGTCTATGTCCAACCCCTATATTCTGTTAGAATAGTCATCCACACCACTAACCCGCCTAGTTTTAGACCCGGCTCCAGCATATCCTAGTGGACGATGAATCTTCATTTTATATTTATATAGGCTATTTATGTCTATGGATATAGTAATCTTTCTAGGGTTTGTTTGTAGGTTACAATACTTAAGCTAGCAACCATAAACTTTGCAAGGGGATGCCATGTAATAGGATGCTTAATGAATAATTGCAGAATATTGCGCTCTTCCAAACTCCTCACCTCTTTGAGGACAAACTCCTCCCTCCTTACGTCCCTCTACCCATCCTATCATAATAGATTACATGGATATTTCAAGTATTCTTGGCCGGTGCTGCAAGTGTCAAGTTGCCAAATTAAGCTGTTATGTGGGCTCCGAAAATTCGGCCCCGGCCTCCGCCCGCTGTTTGTTTTTTCTTCGGCGAGGGAGTTTTAACGGAATTAAGTTCCGAGGTAAATTTTGGAAGGCAGATGGGTTAAGACACTACCCAGAGATTTCACCCTCATTTTGCGAGGACTTTATAATATGAGTTCTGGTTTCCTATAGGCGCAAGCCCCTATAGTTAATTACCCCTCCCGATAACGAGAGAGAACTTTTGATTAAGGCTAGTAGTCAATCAAATATGTAGAGATACATATTATCTGGCATAGTAGCAGCATGAGTTTGAAATTGGAAAGTTTGGAAATTTGAAGGTTGGAAGATTGATATTTAAAATAGAAATTACACCATTTTGCACTTAAAACGGATGGTGGGGGAATGGATGATGGACCCAATCAAGATCCCATGGTTCCATCATCCCGGGCCATCGTGATCCCTGGTCTACATAGTCAGAGGACGTAGTCGACCCAACCTGACAGAAGGATCCTTGTCGGCAACCATGGGTTGCTTCGTCCAAGGGAACCTTGTAGACCTGGGGTGAATGTTTATCTAAGGGGACAAATTTAAATCCACCTTAGCTAACAGATGGCTTTGTGCCCTATCGTTCATATCCTATTGATTCATATCTCAAGGATTTGATTCCACTAAGGAATGTATTGGCCCTGAACATAACCGATATTTCGTGGTGCCATTTGGCGGCAAAACCACTCGGTTCAGAGGGCCCCGGGTCATAACCGTTTATCATGCGGTGCCATTTGGAGGCAAAATCGCCGGTTAGAGGACACGTACCACGTCCTTACTAGCATAAGATTATTTGAGAATGGATCCTAGTGATATTTTCAACTAGGCATTGAGCTCTATGTGAGCTTAAGTAAATTTTAATTTGTCTACCTCGACAAACTATTGCGAAGGGTGGATGGATTTTGCTTTAAATGTTTAATGGTTTTATTTCAATTTAAAAAATTTGGATTTGAAATATTGGGATTTTTGAGTTTTGGATTTTTGTGGGTATTTGGATGGAGCTCGGAAGACATTTGAAAGCATTTGTGAACCTCTCCGGTTGAGATCCGCATTCAACACGGCCATCATCGGGGTAAATATGGGGTCATTCATTGACTAAACCTTGTCGATCCTATTAACTTGCTGATAGGGGATCAAGTTTCGTAGGCTTTATGCCTTTGTTAGTGAATTCTCATTGTTATAGGCCTTGAAGGCCTAATATGATCGTATTAAAACAAATATACCGGTCGCCACCACATATATTTGTTTGATTGTTCGAACCCTGTCGACTCTTATTGATATGCATATAAGGATCGGGTTTGAACTTGAATTCACTTATCAACCCGCACAGCATCCCTAGACGTCACGTGTGTACTAATAACACGCTCACCAGGGCCCATGCGGTGTTTGAGGGCATTTTATAATTATTTGTTGAACCTTGTCGACTCCTATTTATTTGCTTAGGAGGATCGAGTTCGAACTTGATGACCCGCGCAACATCCCTAAACGTCACATGTATTCCTACAACATGCTCGTCGGGGCCCATGCGGGTGTTTGTAATTATACTTACCCCTTGTGTACCTATGTGTATACAAACTACGGTGCACGTGCGGGGTACTTCAAAATATTTGTAAATGTCTTCTGTCCTCTTGCACGAACATTGCGAATTCGGTGGCGTAACGTAACAGCTTCTAAATTGAATTGTTCGCTACTTTATACAGGTAGATTGTCGTGCTCTACTTGTTTGCTTTCTGTAGTTGGATCATAGTGCACTAACGAATCTCCTGCTTTGGGTCGTAGGAGCTTGCACTTGTTGAAGCTCTTTTGTATTTTGCTTGTCGTCATTCATAAGTTGACACTGTATACATGAAAGGTCCTCTATGTTTATTTGTAGATGCCCATATATTTATTATAGATCTTTGTCCCCTGTCACTACCTGCATTCAAGTTGATTGATGATCTACTATATTCATCTACATCTTCATTAGTAGCCCCTTTCGTAGGTTTGCAATACTAGTGAATCTTTCTTCACGGATTAACACCTTCATTGTGCATTCTAGATAGTCTCCACCTTCATTAACTATCCACTACGTGCATTATGGCTCATTGGTTATTTGATACATGTGCTTGCTATTTAACCTCATAGAGGGGTTGTTATATCTTCATGTATTGTTTGTAAATGTATCACTACATTCATAACTCATTCAATACTAGCATCCATTGGAGCTCTTGTATGATAACCACTGAGTTGAGGTGATGATTCCTACTGATTATTTCTTGGGACAAGTCATGTTTGATCTTATGAAAGATCTCATCGACTCCAATAGCCCCCATTTCATAACTTCACAATCTTCATGTTATTTGCAAACAAATCCCCACTTGCGAGTTCTTGGCCTTCAAAGGTAATTTACAGCAAGTGTAAGGATCTTGATACTATCCTCAATGTCTTTATTCTAATCCACACGACTCTTACAAGTCACGTATAACAGTCCAAAAATTTCATGACAGAGTTTATATTCAACTTATGCATGAATCCCTGGTTGAACATATGACATTGGTTTGAATGCATTTAAATGATCGACGAAGCCACTTGTTTGAAGATCTTTGCATTGTTTCTTATGCACATGTCACTACATTCTTCGTTTGCTCCTTATTGATGATTGCTTGCAAGTTTGTTTTGGAGCTTTGGTCATTACAAGTATCGTGTTCAAATTTAGGCATTATCCAACCTCTCTTACACTTGGACTTGGAAGCTTGTAGTTTCATTAATGACATTATTATACTTGAATGGTTAGAATTCTCTTCTCAAATATTTAGATTTTGATCACTTATTTGTTAAACCAAAGTCTAGTCTCAATTGTGTCCTTACTTGAATTCAAGTAGCAAGCTCAAGGTATATGTCCCCTGCTATCTTGTAGAGTTCTAATTCTTTTACATCTTATCCGAATTCAAGCTCAAGTATGGTTCAAATCCACAAGTCCAGTTCATGTTCAAGTACACTCTTCTGCAGTTCAAGTCAAATCTTTGCACAAGTTCAAATGTTCAAGTCATGCTTAACATGCAAATTAAGCCCATCTTGAGTTCAGGTTCATTTGTGTTCAAGTCTTAGTTCCTTGAGTCATATTCGAGTCAAGTTTGAATTTGTATTTGGTTTGAGTTCAACTCAAGTCTTCATTAAGTGCTTTATATTAATGCAAGTCCACATTTTGTTCGTTGTAGTTCATTTTTA